CTATCTATCTATCTATCTATCTATCTATCTATCTATCTATCTATCTATCTATCTATCTATCTATCTATCTATCTATCTATCTATCTATCTATCTATCTATCTATCTATCTATCTATCTATCTATCTATCTATCTGTCCATCCATCCGTTCATGAATCTATCAATCTACGTATCCATAAGAAGATTAACCCAAACACGCACCCATCCACATCATGCATGTTTTGTAGCTCGTATTTTGTTTGTTAAGACAAAAATATATGTGACATGACATGGATAATTTACGATATTTGAAATGGCAATTTATTGTTTTATATGCTACTGTATGATGATGTATTGTGTTTGATGTCATGGTATGTTGTATGAAAGTGTGTTATTTATACTTTATTCCGATGAATTCCATAAGACTAGGCATGGGTGGGTACATTTAGCAATGACGTGCGTGATTCACATAAGATTACCACTATGAAGGCAACGCAGCGATACATATAGCGATGAAATACTAGATTCACACATGACACGACCACTCTCAAGACACGGCAAGTGTACATTTACCTATGACTTACTAGATTCACACAAGACAGTACCACTTCGAAGGCTAGGCAGGGCAGGGGTACGTTTAGTGATGACGTTTGAGATTCACGGAAGACACTACCACTTCCAAGACAGGGTAGCGATATATTTAGGGTTGTTGTACTAGATTTACCCGATACACTAGTACCTCGAAGACAAGGCATCGATATATTCAGCGATGACGTATTAGATTGACACAAGACACTACCAGTTCGAAGACGGCATGGGTACATTGAGCAGTGACGTACTAGAACCTCTTCGAAGATAAGGCAGGGATGTATTTAGCGATGACGTGCGTAATTCACGTAAGATATGTCCACTTTGAAGATACGGCAAGAGTACATTTACGCACGACGTAGGAGATTCACACAAGATATTACCACTTGGAAGGCAAGGCTGGGGTGCATTTAGGAATGACGTACGTGATTCACACAAGATACTCGTACTTCGAAGACGAGGCAGGCGTATATTTATCGGAGACGTACGAAATTCACCGGAGACAAGGCACTGGTACATATAGCGATGACGTACGTGATTCACACAAGACACTACCGCTTGCAAGGCAAGGCAGATGCAGTGTTACGAATGACATTCATGATTCAGCCCAGACTCTACTACTTTCAAGACAAGGCAGGGGTTTGTTTTAGCAATGACGTGCGTGATTCACACAAGACACTACCGCTTGCAAGGCAAGGCAGATGCAGTGTTACGAATGACATTCATGATTCAGCCCAGACTCTACTACTTTCAAGACAAGGCAGGGGTTTGTTTTAGCAATGACGTGCGTGATTCACACAAGACACTACCGCTTGCAAGGCAAGGCAGATGCAGTGTTACGAATGACATTCATGATTCAGCCCAGACTCTACTACTTTCAAGACAAGGCAGGGGTTTGTTTTAGCGATGACGTGCGTGATTCACACAAGACAGTACCACATTCAAGACAAGGCTTGCATGTAATTAAGCAACGACGTGATTGATTGACATAAGACACTACCATTCTCAAGACACGGCAAGAGTACATTTACGTATGACGTACGAGATTCACACAAGACAGTATCACATGCAAGACAAGGCATGCATGTAATTAAGCAACGACGTGATTGATTGACATAAGACACTACCATTCTGAAGACACGGCAAGAGTACATTTACGTATGACGTACGAGATTCACACAAGACAGTACCACATGCAAGACAAGGCATGCATGTAATTAAGCAACGACGTGATTGATTGACATAAGACACTACCATTCTGAAGACACGGCAAGAGTACATTTACGTATGACGTACGAGATTCACACAAGACAGTACCACATGCAAGACAAGGCATGCATGTAATTAAGCAACGACGTGATTGATTGACATAAGA